TTTTCAAAAGCAAATAGCTGCAGAAAAGTACTCTTTGGTGATTCTTCTGCTTTTCGTCCATCCTGGAGAAGAAGTCAGAACATGCAGAACACAATTTGATATGATGTTTGAATTTGTGCTCGTATGATACAGAAGCTATAACTTTGTTGTGTTCTATGATAGAGGGCTTACAAGTTGGGCCCAAATCCCTGTGACCACTCCCACCCTGCTCCACCTTTTGCCATGGAAGCCTTCTACTGTCTTTGGCCTTATGGACCAGAATGAGACTGGGACCAAAACCAAGCAGAACTTCCAGAGTAGGACATGTTCCTGGGATTCAGGGGAATTAAAGAACACAGGTTTTCTTTTTTTTTTTTAATTTTATTTATTTGAGAGAGAGAGAGAGAGCACAAGCAGGGGGAGGGGCAGAGGCAGAGGGAGAGGGATGAGCAGACCACCCACTGAGCGGGGAGCCAGATGCGGGGCTCCATCCCAGGACCCTGAGATCATGACCTGAGCCGAAGGCAGATAGGTCACCTGAGCCACCCAGGTGCCCCAGTAGGTTTTCTATAATTGGAGAAATCCTGTCACACTCTTCTGACTGGACAGAAAGGACAGAAAGCTAATCCTGTGGGACTTTCTGGTCTCTAATCTTTTGTTTCTCATTCCCACCACCCTCGATGCCTCATTAATTGCTTCCCTCCCCTGGAAGATTGTCCCTGCTATGTTTAGTACTCACTTCCTGCCCATTGATACCAACATTGGCGGTTGGTTCTAGATTTGAAGGGGGCAGGACTCGGAGGTGCTCCTTCAAACAGCTCAGATTTTCCACTGGGGGCTTTGACCTTGCCCGGTCCATTGGGATTTCCCTAATGGGGAGTGTGAGAGAAATACTAAGATAGTTCCTCCTGTCTCAGCACAGAGAGGCAGAGAGATGAGCGAGAGAGAGGGGTGGCCTGCCTGTAGCACCTGCCTGGCTGAAGAGGCAAGGAAGCTGGACTCTGGTCCTCCCGCTGCCTGGAACACAGTCCCAGCCATCATGGTGGCGCGTGACCCTGTTACTCATGGAGGAATCAGAAAAGGAGCCTTGGGGGTGTTGGCTCCAGAGCTGGGAGAACTGGGTGCTCCACCCTGTGGGTCTGAATCGGCCACCGGGCTGGGCTTTGGTGAGAGTGCCTGTCACAGCCTCTGGCACCCGCTGGGGCATTAGGCTCTGCATACAAACACCTGCTGTGAGCTGTGAGCAGTCCTGCCCCCTGCCAAAGTCAGCCCTTTGATGCTTGTCAGCACCTTGCTGGGTAACACACTAGCACCAGAAGAGCTCAGTGACCCAGTGGGCATAATGGGACCCAGGCTGAACCTGGAGGCAAGAATCAAGGACATTATCAAAACCCAGAGCTTGAAGAAATGGAGCCTTGTCTGAAAAACCAGACGAATTCCTCCGTGTGCTGGGACTCTAACCCATGGCGGGGGGGTTCTTCTTGCTTCTCCAGCCTCCTCCCACAAAGGCACTGGTGTTGACAGGCTTTGTTAAAAAGTGGATTCACTCTCGATTTGGTCTGGCAAACTGGACTTGCCGACAAATATGAGTGAATAGTTGCCTTAAAATTTCAGTGGGTTGAATGCAGGTGAAATGTGACCCCACGGCGCCCTCCTCCAGGCACCCTGGGACAGTCTACACAGTGCACAAGTGTTCGCAGGGGACAGATAGGAAATACACTGCTGCAGATAAGACACACAGCCCGCTCCACCCCGGCTTGCTCAGAGCTCATGATCCAGACGGGTGGGGCAGCAGAAGCTCCTGGCCGGTGGTCACACTCACACGACAGTACCAGGGAGCTGGACATGCCTCGCTCTCCCTCCAGTCTCCCAGGTGGTCAGCACTGCCCTCCTGAGACGACCCTCCGCCATTGCGCCCAACTTCTCTCTTCCTTTCTCCCTCCCTCCCTCCCTTCCTTCCCTTCTTCCTTTCTTTTTTCAACTTGTTTCTTCTTCTTTTCCCAGGAGGGGGCGAGACAGCTTCCCACACTCACCTGCTCACTGGGAAGCAAGCTGAATTCCTTTTCATTGTGGTAAAATACACATGACAAAACTGACCCCTTTACCCATTTTCATTTAGTGCATTCATGTTGTGCAACCATCACCACCATCCATTTCCAGAACGTTCCTCATCTCAAACCAAACTCTGTGAAACACTACTTAAAACTGTGGTAAGAGAGGCATAGCACAAGATTGTTCATTCGAGCCGCATTTCCCTGCACGGCGCAGGGCACCGTCACCCCCATCCGTCCCCACCCTCCATCCCCAGAGCGTTTCCACCTTCCAAGACTGGAACTGTCGTCTTACTCTTCAGGAAGGCCTTCCACTTCCGACTCGGATCTGCTGACGTCCCTCTGGGTTACAGCCCGGCTGCCATCAGCGGCCGGTTATGGGGGATCAGCCAGGCCGGCCCTTCCCTCGGGACCACCTTCTCCACGGTCGCAGCAGGAGGGCCGAGGGGCCAAGGGCAGCTCACCCAGAGGGGGTGAGCTGCCTCTTGGGCACACTGATTATGATAAATAAAAGTTACTCGAGAGACACTCAGACACTCAGCTCCTCCCCCATCCCCCCGAGAGCAGGCAAGAACTCTCCCTGTGGAAGGTGCCCTCCCTGTACCTAGAGACAGAGACAGTCTCGGCACCAGAGACGGGAGATTCGGAGCCCAGCACGCTGGGTGAACAACCCTGTTCCTTGGTCCTCATGTCCCTCCCAGCCCACATTCTGTGCAGAATTCCTTCCTGAGTGAAGCTCCCGGAGTTAGGTTTTCCTGGTCCCGTCAATTCCCCACAGATCCGTTGTCTCTATGTCTAAAAAGTCTGAAAACGGCAGCCTCGGTCACTTCCGTGGGCTCCATCTCATTATTGGGCCTTGCTGCTCACGTAAGAGAATTTTGGTTTTCTCTCCTGTTAATCTGTCTCATGCCAATTTAGTTCTTAGTCCAGCGGGAAGACCTTGAGGGTAGAGAAGAATTTTCCCTTACCTTCCAGCATTCAGGAAGACCCGTGTGGACTCAGGACATGGTGGGGACAATTCATTTCATCATTTTGAGGAATCCTGTAGTTTTAATTATACCCCTTTCTGCCCTTTCTGCAAACTGTCCACCAGAATTCCCACCCACGGTTCTGATTCCTTTTCTTGGAATCCAAATTTCTGAACCAATCAGAACTCCCACAGTGGCCTCCAGACCAGGCCATAAAGTCTTCGGTCCCTGGGAAGCTCCTGTGCATATGGAGACCTCGGGCACCACAGGGCAGCCCAGGAGTGGGCTTTGTACCAAGGGCAGCACCACCCAGAGGGGATGAGGAGCCTGTTCCCGAGTGCACTTCACTGCAACACTAAGAAAAAGATGCCATGAGGCTTGTCTTTGTGGCCTTGGCCCAGGACCTTGCACCATCTGAGTCTCTCTGTGGCAGCAGGAGGGGAGCTGTGTTCTGGTTTCTTCCCTCCTGCAGGAGGCAGAGCCGGCTGCCCAGGATGGGACTTTGCCAGACACTTCCAGCCTCACCTGAGTTCATGCTCTCAAGACTCCAAAAGCCCCCCGGGATGCTCCCCATGGTCTTTCCCAGGATGGGGCAGGGAGCTCCGTGGTCCTTAAGCCATTCAGATTTGGGTTGTAATGATTCCCATTATGGCTTCAACATTTCGGGAGCCCAGGTGGCCACGTCCTTTGGAACATGTTCCAATCCCAGCACCTGCATCAAAGACAAGTACAGACTCTTGCAGTCCTTTGCTTTTCTTTGCCCAGCATCCTCCCTCTGCCCCTTTCCCCTGTTAACACAACTCCCTTCTTGGGAAGAATGGCTCCTTTCCCAGCCTCGCCCCAGGGTCCCCGGGGCCAGACTGTCGCAGACTCCACCTCCCCGCCCTCCATGTTCTGTGCAGGGCTGCTCGGGGACCCATGCGGGACCAGATCCTTCTCTGGGATTTACATACAGATGCTGCCAGAGACCAACACTCTGGGTCCCAGCATCCTGGTGCCACGTCCCTCCCCTGTGACGCTCTCTTTGAAGCAGGAGAGAGTGAAGTGACCACTCAGGATGGAGGTGACACAAGATAACGGCGTCCCCTCTTGTGAGGTGACCACAGCTTCAGTCTCAGTGCTGCCCTTTGCAGGCATATCTCCGTGTGGCTTTTAGTTTTGTTTCATTTATGTTTCTTTTTCTCATTATAACATAGACTGTGTTTATTGTGGGCAGTTTGGGCAAAACAGAAGTGGACTGTATTCCCAGCCCCACGGAGAAAATCGTTACCATTTTAGTGTTTTCCTTCAAATCCTTTTTCTTTTGTTTAAAACCTTGAGATTTTACTAAATGCAGGTTGTTTTTTTTTTTTAATTTTATTTATTTATTTGTCAGAGAGAGAGAGAGCACAAGCGGGGGGAGCAGCAGGCAGAAGGAGAAGCAGACTCCCTGCTGAGCAAGGAGCCCAACGTGGGGCTCGATCCCAGGACCCTGGGATCATGACCTGAGCCAAAGGCAGATGCTTAACCATCTGAGCCGCCCAGGCGCCCCCTAAATGCAGGTTTTGTCACTGAGCGCTACCACGCAGGTCTAAGCTGATTTCCAGCGGACGTCGCGGGGCCGGGGCTCTGGGTGGAAGGAAGGGCGGGAGCTGGGCATCTCGTGCGGGAGGTTTGCTCTTGCTCCTGCGGGCCATTCCCCGCACGTCTGTACAGACTGAGAAAGCTCCCTGAGTGCCCACGCGGGGCCTCCAGGATTCCGCGTGTTTGGGTCACGCAAGGACAACGGAAGGGGCTCCCTTCTTCAGCTGAGAACAAATGTGAAAACCCTCTGGGCTCTTCCCATTTCCCCGTACCGTTCCCAATTTTAGTAGTAACACCCCCCAGATAAGCTGGTGTATCCATACGGGGGTTCAGGTTCACGGACTTTCTGGGCTTCAGTGTGGTTTGCCTGCTCTGTGGGGTACTGCTGGGTGAAAACAAAACAGAGATAAAGGATTCCTTTTGAATGAAAGACTAACAATTGAATGCAACAAGCAAGAGTTTATTTATATTAAAAAAAGGGAAAAGAAAAAAAGAGAACAGAAAAGAAAAACCAACATCTTTTTACTACATTGTATAGATTAAGTAAAAATACCTGTATTCATATATATGTATATACATACTGCATATATATATATATATATATACACACACATATACACACATGTAATGTAACATTAAAATTACATGCTTCCCAGGACAGAAGAATTAGGACACGTTCCCTCATATCAACTTAATACTCTATCACAATTTAAAATCACTGCAAGGAAACTGGCTTCCTTCATCTTATTAGACTTCAAGTATATGAAGTTATGGAACCAGGACCTAATGTGAAAATCACCTTCTGTGCACCAGTGACAACGGACTGTCACACATCACGGGTCAGGGGTGTTCTGAGTTCTCCCACAGACCTTCCTCACCTACAGCTGTGTCACCTTCTACCTGAGATGCGTGGGAATGAGGCAGGGGGACAGTCTGCAGGTGCTGCGTGGACGCGCACATTGACGTTTAAACAAGAGCGACAAAGACATGTGTTTCCATGAAAACAACACTGGCCGTAAAATGACTCTAGAAGAGGATTCCTTCCTCCCCTTTCCTTGCCAAGTGAAACACAAAAATTACTGGGGGAAAAAAAAAAACCTCAGGGTGAAGCACCTCTGGCGATGATCAGCAGACAGCAAGGGACAGAGAGGGAGCGTCTCCTTCACGACAGCTCCTGGCTGACCTGGATGGTCTCAAACACACCCTCTTCTGCAAAGGCACTCACATGTTGTCTGTTTATCAGTCATACAGCGGGATTCCACACATGGGAGTCTTTCCTACAAATATCAAAGAGAGAAGCTGAGGACATGGTCTAACAAGAAAAAGAGGATAAGAAATACACATTTTGGATAAATGTGTGCTTTTTTTTTTTCTTTAAAGGACAATCCGTAGTTTAAAAAATTTCATTGAAAGCTAGGAATTCCAGTAAAATTATCAGCAAGAAGCAAGGTGCTGGAGATGAGAGATGGATCCAGAACGCAGAGAGGAGGGACGCTAGTTTCTCAAATGGCCAAAGGACAGGGTTATGTATGGTCTGCTCTGAAACTAGAAAGACCATTCACATACAGTGGAGTGTGTGAGTGGGAGGGAGGTAGTGGCAGAGAAATTGGTAAAGCAGGAGGGAGGGTGGCGTCCTTCAGTATGTGGGCACAGGGAAGATGCACCCTGAATTTCCGATGGGAAAGAGGGGCTGCGTCCCCCTGGTCTGCAGTCCAAAGAGACCCTGCCCAAGCCAAAGGCTGCCCTCACCGGGACACGACGGAGCTAATGGAATTATAAGATGTGCCGCTGTTGCAGCTTGAGTCATAGGCCTCCTGGCCATTGCCGTCGAGGTTGATCTTGAACACAGAGGACGCCTTCAGTAGAAAGTCCGCCGCGTCCCGACGCCCCAGCTCCCGCAGTTTGGACATGAGGATGCCCACCGTGCTCTCAGGGTAGGAAGCCCATTCCCGGAGCAGGGCATGGACCGGGCTTGGGAGGAACTCCTTGGGAGCCCCGTTATTGGTGTTGTACTTCGCCACAAGGTCGGGGAGACCCAAGTTCATGGCGAGAAGGCACCAGTCCTTTCCCATGGGATCGGGGGGGTCCAGGAGACGACATAGCTTCCTCCGGGTCAGGAGGTTCAGATCTGAGGCGTGGATGTCCATCCCTAGGCTGGCCTGTGAGTACACGTCATGACACCCAAAGCACATGATGCTGCTGAAGCTCTCCTTGTACCCACCCATGGTGTTCGTCAGTGAGGTCTCCTTCAGGGTCTGCGCCCGGAAGAAGTCCCGCGGCTGGTAGATCATGACGGGCTCATGGTGCTCCCGCAGCTGCTGGGGGCTCAGGTAATGCTTCACCGTCAGCAGCCCCGGGAGCGTGGTGGCCATGACGTTCTCCATGGTGCTGCACACGGAGTCCAGCAGGAGGCAGCACTTGATCTTTTCCGTCTCCAGCCCTCGCACCTGCACCTCAATGCCCTGGCCGTGGTTGACGAGAAGCACCAGCAGCTCGGCCCCACGGTTGGCAATCTTGCAGCCGTTCACCCACAGGCGGATGTCTGCGTCGCCCTCAGTGCTCTGCTGGTGGATCCATCGGCAGAGGTTCACCTGGACCTTGTGAAAGATGCCGCACGGGAAGGGGGTGAGGTACTCCACGGGGACGATGCGCACGCCACCATAGACCCTCCCCTCGTCCTCCTCATCCGTCCAGGAGCGGTGGAGGTTGTCTGTCTTGATCAGGGCAGGGATGTCCACCATGGTCCCGCTGCTCAGGTCCCGGGCGCAGATGTCCATGGCGTCGAGGATCTGCAGCAGCTCCTCCACGTCACTGTCGGGCACCAGGCGCTGGACGTCTTCCACGGTGTAGCGGCCCCGGTAGTGGTGCAGGGCCCGCGGGGTCTCCACGGAGAGCAGCTTCCCCAGGACGTTGGTGCAGAGCCAGCGGGGGTCCAGGAGTAACACGTCCTGGACCGTTTCACTCTGCATGATGTTGATCTGCCAGAAGGGACAACAAGAGGTCACACATGGGGACCGAGATGGCCAGATGCACCAGCTGTGCAGAGTGCGAGAGGACCTGAGCAATGGTAAAATCTGCGCACGTGCTGCAAAAACTGACCCAGGGCATTGATGTGGACGGATCTCGGAAATCCAACACAGACCCAAAATAGCAGCCTGAGAAGGTTATGAGAGAAACCGAAAAGCCTCCCTTTGACAATTGAAAAGAAAGGTCAACGTAATGAATGAAAGACAAAAAAGAGAGACAGGTGGTGGCCAAATGCAATGAGTAAATTCTGACTGGATTCTATATCCCCAAATAAACACACAAATGAATAAAAACAGCTACGAAAGAAATGACTGGGCTAAGTGGCAAACGCTCCAATGAGGACTATTACATCAGTGCTATGTTTCTGGAACATAATTAATTGTATTGTGCTAATGTGGGTGACTCCATCCTTAGCCCTCTGTCTTGTTCACGTCCACTCGTGGATGCCCTCAGCTACGTGGTGTCCAGAGACTCCTGGAGATTAATACATGAACCTGAGGAACACCCACCAAGGCCAGGAGGGTGGGAAGCTTGCTTATTGGCCCTTTGTAAATTTGTCAAAGATAACAAAGTCTCGGGGCACCTGGGTGGCTCAGTCGTTAAGCGTCTGCCTTCGGCTCAGGTCATGATCCCAGAGTCCTGGGATTGAGCCCCGCATCGGGCTCCCTGCTCGGCGGGAAGCCTGCTTCTCCCTCTCCCACTCCCCCTGCTTGTGTTCCCTCTTTCACTCTCTCTCTCTCTCTGTCAAATAAATAAATAAAATCTTTAAAAAAAAAAAAAAGATAACAAAGTCTCTTCCCTTCCTCACACACACACGTGGTGCTGCGAGACCTAATTCAATGTTAGATGTCAGTGAGGGGCATGTGGACCCTTTGCTCTCACTGCACTGCCCTTCTGTGCATCCCCCTGCGCTATAAAATCCATAGACAACACTCCAGACTTTGTGGAGAAGCGCAGTGCGGCTGGGTCGTTGCCCGCCCCATCTCCCCTGCTCGTAAGCTACCCCGAATAAAAATGTGTAAACTCTAAGGAGTCGCCTCCTTCGTTTCTTTGGTCTCAATTCGGGGACTACTTTACTGTCCCTCCTCCACCCTGTACTAGTGGGAAAGGACCCCACGGCTTAGGAGCTACAGGCTAAATTATTTGGGGGTGCAATGTCATACTTGAAAAATAAATAAATAGAACAGAGAGAGAGAAAGCCAATGGAGCGAAGTGTCAGTCAGGGAAGACAGACTGAGACACCAGCCCCACAGGAGACTTCGTGCAGTGAGGGGTCCCGGAGCAGAAACAGGCATCAGGACAACCGGTGACATGTGCCTAGGAGCTTCGTTACCAGCGGTCAGTAACAGGACTGGGGGAGGGGCTGGTGGCCGAGCAGAGCGGGGGCACCTGACAGATTCCCCTTCCTTACTCCTACCACCAGATCATCACTTACCCACTTACTAAAGTCTCAAGGGCAAGGAGAATGAAGAATAAAGTGGATTATACCCTGGATCTAGAAACTGCTAGTCAAATACCAGAAGGCAAGAGAATACTGGGCCAGTGGAGTGAGTTTATTATTCTGGTTAATCTTAGCTTGGATCCCAGTCCTTGGATTCAGTCACTTTAAAGTACGGCCAGAGGGGCCTGTAGATGACCGGTAGTCTCAGGGGAGTTCAGAGGCTCCTGCTCTCACTGCTTGACGCTCTAGTTTTCAGGGTCACTGGATTCAGTTGTCATGTCAAGCCTATCTGATCCACACACACGGGCCTTGAGTCAGGGGGACACTAAGACCGCACAGGAAGCTCCTGGTGTCTAAAATTCTCAGAACCGCCTCTGGGTTTTCATGTTCGGAACTGCTCTTTGTGGCCCAGCCTAGCCTCAACTGTCCCCTGATGTCACAGGACGGAGGAACAGGAAGGCGAGGCCCCCTCTCTGGGGACAGGCAGAGGAAGGAATTAGAATGGCATTCCCAAGCCGCACCCCAGTGCTGAATGCCATACAAGCAGGAGCAAAGATCCCCATTTCTTGGTCATTTCCGGGGACACTGCTCGCTGGGTTGTAATGTCTCCGGACATCTTCTCGTCACTGCCTTTTCTTGATCATCTGTGAACCTGAGAGTCTGTTTGGAGCACATAACAGCCCCTGCTGAGCTGCATCCAGAGGCTGCAGGAATCACAGCTAAGCACCAGGTGCCCCAGGAGGAAAGAAGAGAGGCCTAGTCGCCCCATGCGGCGGGAACTGGGCTCCCTAACCCGTAAGAGCTGGAAAACGAACAAATCCGAACACAACCACGGGACAGCTCTAGGGGGCGTGGGGGAGCCGAGAACTGCAGGTCAGAGAATCACCTGGGCCTCTGTGGGACAGCCCCGTGTCTGGATAGATTATGGGTAGTTGGGCACTTTCCATTCCGCCTCTCCAGACTCCAAGCACCTTCGGCGCGGGGACAGAAACACGTCCGTGGAGCCCCTCCCACACCCCCGCCTGGGCTGCAGCCCCCACCTCGCCAGCACTGTGCAGCTGCTGGGCTATGCGCCTGAGGTCGCCCTCTCTGGCCAGTGGGTTCAGCTGGTCTTGCACGTCGTACACGAACTGCTGCAGCGACATGAGCTGGTTGGGCCCGTTGAGCTTCCTCCAGGAAGGCAGCGTGGACATGATTTTCTCACACAGGTGGGTCATCGGAGGGCACACCTAGAACATGCAGGACAGGACAGGTCAACCTGCGGCCGAGGGGCTCCCTCGGAGAAGCCCAGGTAGAGAGGATGGCACTCTTTTCTGCATCGTTGCAAGAAATACTCGGGATGAGTGAGTGCTTTTTTGTTGAGCATACTGGGCCAGTTCTTTTTTTTTTTTTTTTTTAAGATTTTATTTATTTGACAGAGAGAGATACACAGCGAGAGAGAGAACACAAGCAGGGGGAGTGGGAGAGGGAGAAGCAGGCTTCCCGCCGAGCAGGGAGCCCGATGCGGGGCTCGATCCCAGGACTCTGGGATCATGACCTGAGCCGAAGGCAGACGCCTAACGACTGAGCCACCCAGGCGCCACCTGGGCCAGTTCTTTTTTAAAGTGTGACCTCTCTGCGAAACCCACTTACAAGTGTAAAATGGTACGGATGCTTTCATTTCTATTGCTAACAGTTAAAGAGTTGGTGAGGCTTCGTAACAATGCTTTTGGAACAGAGACTCAATCAGAGTGCTCCTTTAACCCCTAATGCTGTGTTCCCTCCCTCCCTCCCCTGGAGCGACTCTTTCAGCCAGAAGATGGTCACTTTATGAGCAAAGGGAGAGGAAAAGAGATGAACTGTCGTTAGCAATACTGCAGTGGATTTTTATCAGAAAATTAGGTATTCGTGGGACTGTTGCAGACATACAGTTTAGGTTAGACTAGTTCTTCATGGGCTTGAAATAGATTTCTTTCTTAAATTACCTCCAAGAAATTTTATTTGAGTATAGTTGACATGCATTTTTACGTGAGTTTCAGGGGTGCAACGTGGGGACTGAACTTCGGTCACCACACACTAGTACAATACTATTGATTATATTCCCTGTGCTGTGTCTTTTATTCCTGTGACTTATTCCTTCCACAGCTGGAAGGCTGCATCTCCCACCCCCTTTCACCCATTTTGCCTATCCCCCCATTCCCCTTGAAATAGGGTTTTTATCTTTTAATTTGATTAAATAAATCATTTCGTGACAGACTCAGATAATCCGCACACCGTCCTAATTTAAAAACAACACCAGCCATACATTGCCCTGCATCATTAATCGGGCAGTCCCTTCTTGTATCCTACCTTTATGTCAGCTAAATTCCACTCCCTATTCGTAAAACAAAGCTCCCAGGCAAAAAGGCAGTCTGTTTGCTGGGTTCCACCCGCTGGGCCTCAAGAGTTGTTGAGGGTGGGGGGTGTGAAGCGGACGATCTCAACACACCCCAGTTCAGAACTCTCCAGGGACTCCCTAGAGCCTGGGGCAGAGACCCTGATGCCCCCTGGTGGGAAGGGGCTGGGGTCCTTCCCAGACCACTGTCCCCGATCGCTGCCCACTGGTTTCTGTGATCGGGTTCCTCTGAGCCCCGCCAGACTACTCCACTCACTGACTGTGCCTTACTGTGGCCCCCATCAGAAGGCAAAGACTGGGCTTCAGAAAGTCCAGAGTTTTCCTGAAGGTTCCTACAGCACATCTGGAACTGGAGCCTGGTGTTGTGAATGGGGGCATGTCCCAGCTGGGAAGCAATAAGCTCTAACTGGAGGGGCCACCCGCCACGAGGGGAGGGGCCACCCGCCACCAGGGGAGAGAGACAGACACACGCTCCTCATTCCCACCCAGGCTGGGGCAGCAGGAACTTTCCAGGGAGCATTCTGCCCTTGGGATGTTTACCCTTTCGTGTCAGCTGGGGAGAACTTTTCGAATATTATAGAGTAGCAACCTTTTAGGGGTTAGAGGCATTGAGAATATTTTTTCCAGTCTATTTTACCTTTTAACTTTGTTCATGGAATTTATTTGCCAGAAAAGAAATTTTAGCTTTTATGTTGTCAAATAGGTACACTTTCTTTGAAAATTCCTAGGGTTCTCTATATTACCTAAAAGGTTTTCCAAAGCAGTACCAAATTATTTTAAAAACACATTCAAGATATTGCGGTTTTTGTCTTCTTCTTTTTCACATTTAATAGTTTTAATCCACGTAGAATTTCTTTTTGGGATTTGCAGTGAGTAGAACTCAGTCTCATTTCATTCTAGACTAATAGCTAGTTGTGTCAGGTCATGGATGAAATAACATTTTCCCCAAAATTGAAACAGCATCTTTGTTTTCTATTGAATTTCTGTAGATGTTGTGATTTACTTCTACACTCACGTATTCCACTTACTAATTTTTTTGATTTGGGATTTATTAATTACACAGCCCTTATAATATGTTTTATTTATTCTTCCACTGAAATTTTAAGATAAAAAACCCAACCCAATTGTCTCATTCCCATAAGATGTGTGCTGGAACTGTACTAACTCTGCTAAGAGGCGCCCCTCTTTTTTTTTTAATTT